TATAGTTTATTGTCAGGCTTCTCCATGATTCAATAGGGTTCACAGCAATTCCCCTTCTGAAAGAGAGAATCACATTCATATTCTTCATGTTTCCCTTAAATGTTCCTCAAAGTACCCTGTGCATTCACTCCAAGTTTTGTGATTCTGCAAACCTACACAATATAGAATCTTTTAAGAAAATGGCTGCAGCTGTGGTCATCTAAGGAATTTGGAGCTCCTTGTAAACCAAGAGTTGATCTCTTCTTCAAGCAGTGTTTTCAAGATCTTTCTTCCTCCAGATGCTGTTCTGTCATTCAGAGCTCCTGAATTCTAGAACTTAGCTTGACAAAGAGCCAGCCATTTCTGCTGATAAACTGAAAATCTCTTCTGAAAACATCAGCCTTCTCTTTTCCAAATCTGCTGTGTGTCACTGAAAGATGGTGTGATTTCAAACATTTTGTAAACAATAACTATTTGTGAGATTAAATCAGGCTCTGCAGGTAGAAAATCCTTTGCCTTCATCTTGTAATGGGTAGCTACCAGAAAGGGGATTTTATCAATGATGGTGCCCCTTTTATGGAATGCTGTCTCTAGAGAAGTCTATTTGTTACCTACATTGATATCATTTTAGCAACAAGTGAGATAATGTCTTATTTTCCTTGACTTTTAAACTTAAATTGTTTAGCTCAGTCACGGTTTTATCTGTTTTATTAAAGTTGCTGTTTTTGGCTTATTTTAATTTTTTTTTTTAAATTCATCTTCCATTTTGGTTCTTATAATTGCTACCCTGAGAATATGAGGAATGAAACATGAGATACAAGCACATAAAAACCGTAAAAAGTGCTCCCCATGAATTGTTGCTTACTGTTTTTAGGCAGCCTTTAAGAGTAACAATTTTACAAGGATGCTGCCTTTATCAAGACAGGCTTCTATCCACACTGGTTGATTTTTTTACACTTGTAGAGGTTAAAAAGTATACAAGATGCAGCCTCCATCCCACATAGAGGCCATGCCCTCTGCAGTGCAAGTATAAACAACACTGGGCTATCTTACATTGCAGTTGCAATGATTTCTGAAATCCTGTACATGAAAGTTCAAATGCATGATGATGCGTGTGACTTCATGTTTGCAACCTTACAATGTGAACATAGTCCCTTGAGGTCTTTTTCTGATAATGGGTTGCCTACATGTGGAATTCTATTGCCTTTGCAACAGATGCTTCTAAGTTTGAAGCAACAATCTTGATTGCCACACCGCATTCCTTGCACTGGATGTTCATTAACAGTCCAGTGGAATCCTGAATTTTATCTAGATGATGATTTCCAGGAATCTAGATTTAAGGTCAGAGAGGAGTGGGGAGCTCTGCAGCCCCAGTTTTTTCCCCTTCCCCACCCCAGAACACCATTTCCCTTCCCTCTGAGGGGTGATAGCTGGAACTGTTCATTCCATGTGGCTGGCTGAGCAGGGTGTGGGTTCAGCCTTGGAGTCAAAATACCGAGATTAGAGGAGCTCAATGTTTAGCCCCTCAGAAATTCTGTGGATTTCTGGGTGATGGTGGGACTTGCGAGACCATAAGATTGTGTTTTAACTGTGTTCCTAATGCTGCTTTTTTTTATTTTATTTTATTTTATTTTATTTTATTTTATTTAAACAACTTATATGCCGCCCCATCGCATAATTTATCTATATATTTTGACAATACTGAACAGCTACCTCTTTTTGTGAGGCAATAAGGATAAACTTTGTGCTGGAAAACTCTTTAGTAACTACCGATGTACACATTCATCTTCAATGCCTACCTACTCCTTGGGACTTGCACAACCTCATCATAAATGGATTTTTTGTACGCTTTTGACAGTTTAACGTTTGGAAGGGCAAATGTCTGCCTCCAATAATTCAGTGGATTGAGGACTTAAAGCTCTCATGTTTTGAATGGGTGGTCTTTAAGGGACAGCTTACAAATGGATAAACACATATTTATGGTCTGCTTTTGTTGAAAACTATGAATAACTGTGGTTATTGATAGATTATTTTGCTTTATCTAAAATAAAGGGGTATACCTTGCATTTGTTTAAATCGTAAATAAAATCTATCCAAATTTAACCTAAGAAACCTAACATTTTATTTTACTTTATATTTTTCTTTTGATGCAATTCAATTTACAAAAGAAGTTAATAAAAAAATCAGGTCAAAATACAAAGAAGAGACTTTTGAGCATACATGTCCATCAAGTGATATAAAAAATGTGAAAGTGCTTTGATCATGCTCTTCTTAGGACTGAGCTTTGGGGGGAAACAGAGTGAAAATGGATTGAAGAGTTGACTGTGCACTGCAATCTTTTGGGTAAGGCTTGTGATCTCACAAATTCACCATCCACCCAGAACAGTATTTTATGCTGTAGAACTGAGTGTGGTGACTGGTAAATAAACATTAGCATTGGTTTAATGTTTTAAGAAAAATAATTTGAGGTGGACAGTTTGCCTGAGGTGTAGAAAGGTCAAATCAAACAATATTAAAACAGTGTTCAGAAATGTTGTGAAGCTGTGGGAGAAACCAGGCAAGAAGAAGAAATACACATTTATAGCCTGTCCTCTAAAAGGCAGCAGTCTCTATGCACCTCATATTACCTAAGATCATTTCAAATGTGTTGCTTTTAATGGTGGCAGATCAGACATTTAGGATGTAATCCACTCTGGATGCCAGTGATGCTCCAACTACAAGTGTTATAAGCAGGATGGATGACCTACAAACTTGACAGTTATGGACATTCTATGCAACTCCTGCCCCGAATCATAGAATAATAGGGGTGGAAGGGGCCAAGAAGTCCATCCAATCCAACTTCCTGCTGGCACTGGACACCAGTTACACCACCCTTCTCAGATGACTATTTTCTTCCTGAATGCCCCTAGCGTGGAAGACCTCACAGCCTGCAACACGCTTAGGCAACCAATTTTGGCCATCTAAGTGTCACACATTGCAACAACAGGAAAGGAGACTGAGGCACCACTGTGATGCTTCATGTTATGATGGAATTCATCTCTTCCCATTCCCACCACCCAGAATGCCACCTGAAACTGTTTCCAAGGAAGGTCACTGGAAGATGCTAGAAACACATTTGTTTAATAGTCCTAGATCAAAGCCAAGGAAATGATAACCTTCAGACAAGCAGCCAGTCTAATAACACACAGTCCAAGAATCAAGTTCCATTAAGGCGGTCAGATTTAAAGAGCAAGGCAAAGTCAAGGAAGATGGATGAAAGTACCTGGGAAACACAGCCAAACAAGAGACAAGGACAACAGCAGATATAGGCAGGAACCAGGCCATATGGTCCAGAGCAGAAAAGAGTCACAAAACCACTTGGGTTGCTATAGCAAATAGCAGGAATGCTGTGAGGCCTTTTATGCTGGTCTCCAGGGCCTCCAGCTGCACTGCATAATTGCTCCTCAGCTGTTCCCTGCAAGCACCTGCAAAGGTGTTCCTGGTTCTACAGCACGTGCAGGATCACTCAGGCCCTAGTCCTGACACCCTCTAATAAAAGGTAGCTCTATCATGCTTAGGCTCTACATATGTCCTGATATCCAGAAGCCACCAAGGCAGCAATGACTAGGTTCCAACAACACAATTAACTTGACTATGGAATTGTTGTTGAATTGTGGCTTGTTGTTAAAATGTTGAAAGATGGGATATTTTGTTGTCTGGACCCAGCTGTGCGAACAAGCTAATGCTTGTTAACCACATACAATCTGTGAAGAGAACCCATGGGTTGTTGTTGGGTTGTGAACAGGGTGTGATTTACTGTTTCATTATCTTGGGTTCAGCCAATGTGCTAATTCACATTTCAACAACAATCCATGGTGCCATGATAACCCACACTCTTTCAAAACTCAACCCTTGAGTATGGGTTTGTATGTTGTCTGAGGCCCTCCTTTCAAGAAGCATTAATTTGTTGTCATGATTCTGCCCCCTTTGGTAATCTATGAGTACTTTACTCATCACCCTCCAGGGCTTCTCCCATGAGCATTTATGTGGCTTTACAAAAAAAAAAAAAAAAAAAACCTATAATGAGCTTTTAAAGGGCTAACATGCTATAAAAAACACAAAATCAGCATGCATTTTCATAATTCTGCTTATGCTTGGGCAATGAAACATATAGAAAGGCAAAGAAGGAAAACCTTGCAGGGGAGGGAACTTGCAAAAAAGCTGATCTTAAGCCCACAAAGAACTTGGCAGCAGAACCCTCAGTAAAGTGGTGGGTTAAAATGGGTTAAGAGTCTCATGCAGAGAAGTCCCTCAGCACAGTCACCAGCTCATATAATCAGGCAGCAATGGTGATGGAAGAAAATCACCAGCAGTAGCGCTAGCTAACTTTTGGTCCAGCACAAATATTGGTGGAACCGTCAGAGCTTTTCCCCCAGAAATTTCTCCTATTAGAAAAGGTGTAGCGGATACAGAAATGTTAGGTAATAGGCAGAGTTCCTAATGTTTCCTTGCTTGGAATCCTAATAGCTTTCAGAAGGAGTTGGATTCACTGGCACAATTCTACATCTAGAATAATGGGTAGTGCAACTAGGATCTCTGTCATGGTGCCCACAGGCACCAATATGCCCATGGACACCTTTCTTGACACCAAAAGGCCCCTCTTGTTTTTCATTTTATTCCTTATTCTTAAAATAAAAATTGAAAGTCTGGCATGCCACAGAGTATCGTTTTTATTTGGAATGAAAAGAGCACTTTTGTGTTTCAGAGCATTTCTTTGTATGAACCTCTCTTTCTTTTATATGCAATCCTCTGATGACATCGCAACAGCACTTAAGATATTTTAAACTATGCGTATGAGAAGCAGTTCATAGAACCTTTTTCCACTGATTTTTTGGTGGTATCTGTGTGATTGCTTATGAAAGGAAGATAACTTTTTGTTTGCCAAAGGCCAGATTATTAATGATTAACTCCAGCAATGCAATCACTAACCTCCAAGGTTTTATTTGTTTGCTTGCTTTATTCATACAGTTTGTAGACAGGCTTTTAGTCAAGAACACAGCAGTTTACTCTGTAATTCAGAATCTTTTTTGGTCTTGTAACATTTGATGTACATGTGCATCGGAAGCAAGAAGAAACACCTCTCTGAGTAGCAAAAGGCAATAGTCAAGGGGTTTGATTCTCAGCAGCCTAACATGTCCCGGAAAAGCAGTACCACCCCAGCAGGTGAGTGAGGGGCTATTGGATAGAGGAAGCTTAGCATAATCTGATAAAAAGCTCTGGACTGAAGGTCCCATTTGGCTTATGAAAGGAAGGAAGGAGATTATCAGTCTGGGAGAAGGTTTGGTATATTATTTTCATAGACCATGTCCAATGTTAGCATGACTGACCCTCTGTCCTGTGTTCAGAATATTATTATAATAAAAGCATAGACTAAGGGTGTTCCTAGACAAGACTTTTCTCCTGTAAACACTCTGCCTCCAACATGGAACTTCATACAGCAGCCAGGGAGACTTATTTATTTATTTATTTCAAACATTTTTATGCCGCCCCCATCGCAACGAAGCCTCGGGGCGGCTCACAACAGAAACAAAATACATAAATAAATAACAATATAACAATAAAAAAATTATTTAAAAACCTCCGGTGCATCTCAGCTAAAAATTTAAAATCCGATAAATACAAATAATTTAACAATTAAAATAAGTTTTAAATAAAAAGGTCTTAGCCTGGCGTCAAAAAACAAATAACGACGGTGCCAGGCGGACCTCTCTGGGGAGCGCATTCCATAGATGGGACGCCACCACAGAGAAAGCCCTCCTCCGGGTACTCACCCTCCTAATATTTAACAGACTTTAACAGATTCAACTTATAACCATCCTATATTTTCCCACTTCTCTTCCAGTCTTTTTTCTTATTGTAAAAACAATCTAGTAAGGAGGAAACAATGGAAGTGTGCAATGCTCTTTGTTTGGTAGTACTAGGAGGATTCTGTAGGAAAGCACCCAAAATAATTCTGGAACAGCTTAGAATCAAACACAAAGGAAGGGTAAAAAGAAGGAAAAGGAAACATCGTGTGGGACAGAGATGGTCACTATTGATCATGGTATGGGAGGCAGGTAAGATTCCACTCCTCTACTGTCAGTAATATAACACATATTTTTTCAAATAGGAGCTGTTTTAATTGATTCCCCTATGTATATTTCATACCTATATTTCATATTGTTGTATCTTGGGCACATCATGAGATGGCAAGGCTCACTGGAGAAGACAAACATGCAAGAGAAAGTTGAAGACTGAAGAAGAAGAAGAAGAAGAAGAAGAAGAAGAGGAAGACTAACAATGAGACAGATTGGTTCCATAAGGGAAGCCGCTGCCTTGTAGCTGAGTAGCTGAGCAGGGCTATTGAGGACATGACATTCCGGAGGGTACCCATTCATAGGATCTCCATAAGTCAGCATGTAACAATAACATCCATAAATGTTCAGCTTTCTTGTGATCTGTCTCACTTCTGGAACTTGATGATATTAGCTCAGATTCAATGAATTCTAATTCATTTCAACTGGATAGCCATAACATGGTTACAAACTTGCAGGAAATGCAATGGCAAGTCAAGAGAGTGCACAGCATTGATGGTATCTCACTATAGGCATGCAATAGAAACCATGAAATTGGAGGTGATTCAAAAGTTCAGGAACATTTTTTCTGAGCACTTCTTTATTAATTTCAATTAAGGGCGTGTCAAAGTGGATGAGGATTCAGAGATCATGGCTGTGAGAAGCAACAGAGTGGTGCTGGATAATTCTGTTGGCCCTGCAGAGATTGTCATCAGCAATGGCAAGATAGTTGATATCGTGCCAAAGAGAAACTGGACCAGACCCAGTGGAGAAAAGGTATGGACTTACTGATTGATTAATGGATTCTTATACTTCCTTTCAACATCAAGTTACCAGGAGGGCTTAAAAATAAAACTGGGGAAAAAGTTAATGGAAGCATTAAAAATGGACATAGATGCATTTTTAACAGCCTGGAGAATACAAGGGATTTGACCTGCTGAAGAAATAGCAGAATAGGTCATGGGTGAGCCTTTGTAGGGAAAGAATTCCAAAGTGAGGATGCCAACATTAGAAGTGTTTAAGCAGCATTTTAAATGTTAATATTATTGAATTTTATCTGGCCAGGGCGGCTTATTTCATATTGTATAATTGTATTTTATTTTAATGTATATATTTTAATTTTTACTTATGATGATCTAACTTATTGTTGTAAGCCGCCCCGAGGCTTCGGCGAATGGGGCGTCATAAAAATGTTTTAATAAATAAATAAAAATAAAAAAGTGCCCTCTGCCCAGTTGTCATCTTTCTCAAGTTGGATGGCAGGGGTGCCTGGAGAACAGCACTGGCAGATGACTAGAAAGGCTGATGTAATATTAGGCATTTCTTTGGGTACTTGGGTCTCAAACAGAGATATTGCTAGCCCTAGACCCCCATTCCCAGTTTCAAATCTATTTCCCAGATATATTCCACAGAACCAAGAACGTCTATTGATCCCGGGAGCAATTTTCAGGAGATATTTCAGCTGGGGAGGGAAGGGTTATCTCTCACCCTCCTACATGTTGCAAGAACCCCTACCCCCAAAAAAGCTCCTCTCACCCCGCAAGGCAGTTAAGTAAAATCAATTAGTTAGGGATGATCAGGGTGCAAATTAGTCAAAGAATTTGTTATTTAAGAATATTTGGATGAGAAATCAATTGTTGGCTGTACTAGTAATTATTTTTAAAATTGTATATATAGATACAAATGCAGATTTTTCTCCTATAGGCCTGGGTCCCAAATATTTTATGTGGGTAGCAATATTCTTGGTTTCAAGCCATAGAAGTCTTTATAGGTAAGCAGCAATATCTTAAACTGAGGTTGCAAACATGCTGTGGGCCACTGGAGTTCTTTCAATAACAACAAGATGTGTTCCCAGTAACAGGTTCATTTGTATGCTAGCAGCTAAGTTCTCTACGAACTGCAGTTTCTTGGCTGTCTTTAAAGGCAGCCTCACATTTAATGCATTAGATCAGTCTACATGGAAGATTACCAGAGCATGGCAAAACTACTCTAAATTAATCAGGGAAACAAACTAGTTCAAGGATAGGAGAAGGAACTAAACAGAGTACTCTATGTTTATCTGGTGAGAAGGAATAGCATCCATAGGACAAGTGGAACAACTTGCCCATAAAGTGCGATAACATAGCTTTATTTAGGTCAATGGTAAAACTGACGGATTGACTGAAAATTAAGATTAAATATACCCTTAAAATGTTGTTTTTATATAAAAAGTCCAATATTAGATAGCACTGACATCCTGAAATATTTCATGTGCATATAGACTTCACCCCTCCCCACATCACCACCAAAATGTTTTCTGGTGTTACTGTACTTTATTGATGCTAAATTTTAAGTCAGGTTTAGATTATTCTTACCCCATGGTTCTCTGCAGGCCCAGACTAGCTGCTTCCCCATAGAAGGATATCATGAGCATAACTTACATTTGCTAGGTATCTTTCATCCTTCAAAACTAGCCTTCC